GTGGATAATGGTAAAGAAACTTTCTTTTGGCTTGATAATTGGTCTTTAATGGGGCGTTTATATGATATCATAGGTCAAAGAGAAACTATAGATATGCGTATCCCAACTTACGCCACAATGGCTGAGGTTTTTGAGAATCATCGCCATCGCAGACATCGTATGAAATCATTGCAAGCAATAGAGGATGTGATTGATTAGGCGAAATCAGAGAGGACTAATCTAGCAGTTTCCTTGTATTGGGAGTATTTAGCAAGTGACTACAAACAAAGATTTGTTACCAAAAACACTTGGATTTCAATTCGAAATTCACAGCCAACTAGATCGTGGTACAAGGGAGTTTGGTTTAAGTATGATACCCCCAAGTATTCCTTCTTGACATGGTTTGTTGTTCAGAATAGATTGACAACTGGTGATCGTATGAGGAATTGGGGTTTGAGACAAGTTGTGGATTGTTGTCTATGTCGTAAAACCGAAGAAAGTCGAAATCACCTCTTCTTCGAATGTCGCTTTTCTGGAGAAATTTGGAGGAAGCTTACACTAAAGCTCCTTAGCTCTGCTTTCACATCTGATTGGAACCAGATTGTGACTCTTCTCACATCAAACCGCCATAAGTTTGATATGCTCTTAATCCGGTATACATTTCAATCAAGCGTTTACCACATATGGAAAGAGAAAAACCAAAGACGACATGTGAAAACATCAGAAACAGCAACGTCGCTAATCAAGCCGATGTACAAGAATGTCAAGAACCACATCAACTCCATCCGAGCTAGAGGAAACCACGCCTATACCGCGGCGATGGACTTCTGGCTCTCGACTCGGTGAAACCTCGACAACCACATGATCGCCTACTTTTGAAAATTAAAATCATACCTCTGTTTAGTTTTTTTTATTCTTATTTCTTATTCATTTCTAATGCAAAACATCATTTAATGTACAAACGACTATTTTGAATAAATTTTACATTCAATTAAAAAAAAAACTAAAGTATTTTTTTTAGTTGT